CAGCTCTCACATTGCTTGAAGACCACTATTTGAGAATGTAATGAAACTTTAAACTGAAACTGCTTTACAACCAATATGCCCCTAAAGATTAACCATGAATCACTTAACACGACCTCACAATTTGCAATTGCTGCAGGCACAATTTCTATATAAAACTAATTCTTAAACCTAGACTCTGAACATTTTCTTCAGAGAGCTCATATAGCTGAGTTGTAAAAGTAGAGAATACTTAGGACAAAATTTTGAATAGAGAACCACTACTTTTCTGTTATTGGGCTCTATTTTCTAAAAACTTGACTTTTTTTTTTAATAATTCACCCAATGAGCATTGAAAAAAACTCAAGAGGATTTTGGGAGAATTTTTTTTTTACCATCACATTCATGATAAGCCCTGCGTTTTAATACTGCTGTTACAGAACCATTCTCAAAGGAGGCATCATCTCCGAACATACATGGTTGGTATTTCTGAGCTGAAGCTCTGAAGTGATGCTGAATTGCTGATAGCAAAGAAGGACAAATATGTTTTTTTCTGCTGCAGCCACCACAACTTTACCACAGGCATTCAGACTGCACCTGGAAATGAGAACTGAGTTCAGGTAGTATCATGATTCCTATTTCAGAGAGGTGCTGCTTTAAAACAAGTCATTAACAAGAATCTAACTAAGCACTGGCAGACCTTTTAGATCCCCTCACTCTAGCAGTTTCTTTCCTAGAAAGTACCTCCAAACCATTTAAATCCTTACCTATCTTTTTGATTAAGACTGGAGATGGGAGAGGTTTCACAGCAGATAAGACTAATGCACTAGACACATATTTTTCAAGCTTTTCTGCTTTCTTCCTTAAGAAGTTATTATTTCCCTTCCATTGCTTGCCTCTACATAGTTAAGGCATAGTGCTCCTTCAAGGCACTTGAGGTTGCATTTTTCTTCTGTAACACTACTGGTGACTGCCAATTACTATCATATTCCTGTGATCCAGAGAAATAACTATAGGGTGATGACAAGCCAGTCTCGAACCAGGAAGGAAGAAAGGCTGTATGCCTTTCCCCAACTCTTCATCAGTTTTGATTCTGTAAGGAGACAGGGAAGAGACTGTGCATAGACTGCAAGGGAAGAAGTCTAGAAAACACTGAGGGATTGTCAGGAAAGGATTTATTTCCTGCAATAGGTGCGTCCCACACTTGCTGTGGGGGCTGGCAGGAAGCATCCTCTAGTTCCTGTGGGGATTTAGGAGATAGACACCACTCAGGTGTGGGGCAGGCTGCCAAGGAGGACAGGGGAAGCCCTTCGAGCATGCCTGTATCCTGGTTTGTGGTGGTTCCTACCGGAGGGAGCTGAGCTGACCCCTTTGCCTGGGTTATTCTGTGAGGGTGTATGACAGCCCCGGAAAACCAAAAGGTCCGAAGTCCAAAAGGTCAGGGCTAACGCTGCCGGCTGTGCCCCTCTGGCCTCTAATAGCGGATACTGAGCCCCGTCGGGCAGACCCTTCCCGGCCCTGAGGCGGGGAGCAGGGGATCGAGCATCCCGCGGCTCACCCTCTCCCTCCTCACGCCGGCCCCGCCCGCGGATCCCCCGGGGGTGGCGTGGAGGGCAGCCGGGGCCGCGACGGGAGCCCGGACAGCTCCAGCCGCCGTCCCACAGGGCGCGGCAGCCGCTCGAGGGGGAAACTTTCTGCCGGGCCGGCCCAGGCCAGGGCCCCCGCGGGCAGGGACAGCGGCGGTGCCACCGCCCCGGGCGCACCGCGGAGCCGGGCGGGTCCCGGGATGGGAGCGCGGTAAGCCGTGTTTGGGAACAGAGCCCCGCCGCGGCGCGGAAGAAGGTGGGGAGAGCCCAGGGTTCGTCCTGGGTGTCGAATATTGTGCAAACTCCGGCAAATGGGACTTCAGCCCTCCAGCCCCAGTGAAGAGAGGAGAGGGGCTGGAGGGAGGCGAGGGAAGCGCAGACTTACCAAGCGTGGAACACTGAGAGGAGGAAGAGAACCGGCAGGAGCTTAGCGGACATGGTCCGGACAGCGCTGGCCAGGTGAGAGGTGCGGCAGGATGAAGGAAACGTTGCAGAACGTTCACATGGAAGGGAGAATGAGGCAATGAGGTAAAGGTCTGAGCCTCTCCTCTTCTGTATTCTCAGCTTGATACCCTGAAGAAAACACTCTCTTCTTCCACAACGCTCCGAGAGGGGAGGGGGGAGGCGAGAGAAAAAAAAAAAAAAAAAAAAAAAGCAGAAGAAGTGGAACGATGGGGGAAATCCCCAGCGGAGAGGCCAGGTATAAATCAGGCTCCGCGGGCTGACAGGTGTTCAGCGGGCACGGAGCTGCGGCGCGTCCCCTTTGCCGGCAGCCAGCCGCGGGGTGCAGCGGCGCGGCCTCTGCCGCTGCCCGGGCTGGCGCTGGCCGTGCCCCCCGGGCGGTGCACAGCGCCGAGCAGCCCGGGCCCCGCCGGGCCGCGGCTGCCGCGGGGCGGGCCGGGCCGGGCCGGGCCGGGAGGGGGGCGGGCAGGGGCGGGGGGAAGGGGCGCACCTTGCCCCCCCCGCGGAGCGCCTGCCCGCAGCCAGCCCCGCAGCGCGGCACCGGAGCGCTGCCGGGGACCGCCCCGCATCGGAGAGCGCCTCGTCCCCGCTCCCTGCCCAACAGGTTCCCGCCTCGCCGGCAACCGGAGGAGCCGGGAAGTGAACCCTGCCCCCGCCCCAGCGGGCGCACACACACGCACACAAGAGAGGGGGAGCAGCGAAGCCGGCAGCCGCAGTCAGTCGGCAGCCGGGACTTCTCCCCGACATCACCAGCCCGATGCCCCAGACAGGACGGCCGGTGGAAGGATCCCCGTGCTGTTTTGCGGGATGCCCTCACGCCCAAACCCCACAGCCGAAAGTCCCCCCGACCGCCCGGGGCTGGAGGTGCTCTCTTCAGAAGGAGGGAGAGAGGTCGGGTGCTGGTCTCGGGGTGATCGGAGCGACGGGCATCCCGATGTACACACAGGCGCAGATCCGTGTAATCGGTGCGGCTGCTTACACGGACAGATAGGCAGTGTGTTTCGGTATCTAGGTGGAAGTTTGCATGCACTGTACGAATGCATGAATACACATTTATATGCACAAGGTATGCCAGAAAAAATGTATACACGGAGAAAAAAGAGGTCTAGACGATCCTGTAGAGCAGGTTACATGGACTTATATGTACATTGTGAACTTTGGAGTAAATTAGGTTTTTCTGCTGTGAGAACTCGGAAATGAGACAACAATCAAGTGTATTCAGGGCAGAATTAGTTTGGGTTTGGACAAGCTTTGTCTTTCTACTCCAGTAGGAACAGCACAGATCTGATTTTTAGCGACTTCAGTTCTCTTCAGGTGTGTGGAGCTTTGCACCGGGCATCAGGGTAATCGGAATATTCCCCCTTTGTTTTCAGAATGGAGAGTGACAAAATTTCACTTACGTAATGGTAATTTGAAAACAAAAACCTATGCCAGAAGTACAGCGAGTACTTTCCTGTGATCAGAAATCTCGGGAATGCAAATCTCTGTCTCCTTTTCCCTTACATATAACTTCCATGTTCTGGAGCACTCGTTTTTAACTGTTTAATAGAAAAAAATTTCTTCTAGAAGATGCAGTCTTGCTTCTGGAGTAACTCCTACATTATGCCTAGAAGAGCTAGGCTATAGAGAGTTCTGTTCCCGAGTAAATTTTTGACGAAACGACACAGCTTAAGGAAAATCTGTCGTGAGTCAGGCAATTAACTCTCAGTTATTCACTTTAGGGATTTTCTTTCAGCCTTTCGGGTTCTGTTGGGTTTTTTATTTCCAACCTAAACGCCTCTTTACTAGATTATATAGCAGTGTTTACTTTGTCTAATTGCAGTTACCGTGAATTGCTAATAATCATTTGTTACAAGGCTTCTGTCACCAGCAGAGAAATGCGGGTGGAAGCCAGGCCGCCTGCTGCCCTGAGAAAATGAGGGAGGGAACCGACGGCGACTGCTGGGGGGTTGCCTGGATTTCACCATAGCTATCTGTGCTGACTGTCAAGCAGCAGCACGCCGATCCGCTGGTGCGAAGCTTGCGGGAGCAGCGTCCTGCGGGGCGGGCGGGAGGCGGGACGGGCGGACAGGGGAGCCGCCGCCTCCCAGCGAGCGGAGAAAGTCCCGCCAGCACCGGGGAGTCACGGCGGCAGGGGCTTGGAACCGCCGCACGGCGACGGACAGCAGGCACTTGAAGGTTTCTTGAAGGCTGCTGCTGACGCGAACATCATTTAGGGCTCCCAGTGCCCATGTCCCGGCTCGCAGCGCCCGCGCGCTTGGAAAGCAAGGAAAGGAAGCGCCCGTCACGCAAGGAGGTGTTTCCCCTGCGCTGGCTATATAGAAAAATGTGTGTATTCACACGGACGCTCAAATTGAATAAATAAAAGCTTAGCTCGGCCTCGGCAACCCTGCCCAGCAGCGCGAAGAGCTGGGGCGGTGCTGCAGCATCGAAGGCTGAGGGCCGGGGGAGCTCGCTTCGCCGCCAGTGGGAGGGAGCGGCTGGGGGCCGCCGTGCCTCTGCCACCTCCCGGGTGGGCGGCACGAGTGAGCCGGATAGTAGGCAGCAAGCAGAGAGACCCGGAGGAGAGACGCCGGCGGCGATTTACGATGAGAAAAGGCGAGGGCAGGTCCAGCTCCGCATCCCCGCTCTCGGGGACCCCCGTGCGGGATGGGAGGGAGCCGGCAGTGGCTTCCCCGCCGCGGCGGCTCCGTCGAGCACCGCTCCGCCTCTTCCTCGCCCGCCAGCCCCATCCCGCCCTTAGCGCATCCTGCCGCGGTGCCGGGATCCTCTGGCGGCGGCGGCGGGAAGCGCGGGGGATCGGGCCGCGTCTCCCACCCCGCGCTGCCTCCAGCCGGCGGCAGAGCGCTCGGTTACCCCTGCGCCGTGAACGGAACTCTCTGTGACCATCGAGTCACTCAGACCTCGAGAAAGACCTTCACAGTGTCCCCTCTTTCCTTGCAGAGTGGCAGAAATTCCCAAGGCTCGATCGGAGCAATATGGTTCATTGGTTATTAACTCCTTCTTCTCAGACCGTAGGAAAAAAGGTGATGTTTAAGGTTTTTTTTTTTTTCCGTTGTCCTCGGTGTGTTAATGCCAAAGGGATACTTTAGCACCACTCTTCGTTACACCTCATGCCTCGTTCATTTCTGCTCCTCCTTTTCATACTCACATCCTCTTATTTTACTTTTAAGCACACTCTCTGCCTTTGCTGAGCCTTTCAAGTTGTGTGTTCAGGTAAGGGTCATGATTTTCCAGCACAGGTTTTAACAAAAGAACATTTTATCATGCTATGTAATTATAGTAAAATGTTGATGTTCTCAGTAATATTCTTCAGCACAACAAAATGCATCCACATTTTAACTTACCTTCATTGCGCTTTCACAGAGGGCGACTATATTTTCAACCTGAGGGATACCTCTGTGGTATGTCGTGTGCAGTGGGGAAGCATGAGTCTCTAAAAGTAGCTGTGTAGGGAGCTAGCTGGCATAAAAAAGGGGGGAAATGCCAAAGAAGGGAATGGGACTCGTGAGTCAAATGCCTCACTTGCTAGAACTGGGAACCCATCTCAAGCACTGAATAGTTTGGGCATCTGAATTTTCTGAGATTCAGTGAGGAAGGAGGGCCCTACTGGTGGTTTTCCTGGCACCCCAGGGTTACCTATATACCATGAGAAGCACAGAAGGGAACTGGGGCTGCTCTGAGACAAAGAAGGAAGGACCTGAAATCCATATCCTACAGATCCTGGAGTCCTCCAGCTGAAGGCTTATTAGAGACTTCTAAGAGGCTTGAGCCAGTTGTTGGTCTGCTGGAGCCTTTAGGTAGGAAGTTGAACCCCAGAGGTCCTGACAATTTCTGTGTGCTCAGTTCTGTCCTTCAGCACAAAGCTCTCTTCTCTCTGGCTCATGGTCAGGATAGGGAGAATTCCTCCTGATGCTGCCACGTTGCAGCTTTTCAGCAACTTCGTGTAGACTTCTGGAAGAAGCATGGGCATCCAGGGACGCAGGGCCACTCCTCTGGAGCCAGACCACCCTTGAGCAGCTGTCCTGAGAACATCAAAACCACCAACCCCCAGTGAATGAAGAACTGAGCCCAGATCCACTGACACCTAACTGCTTTTGATGGCTGGCTCCAACATTTATTATAATTTATGTGTTAAGCTATAGTGGGTGGTTGCCCTATGTGTAATAATTTTCCTACCTATAAATCCAGCCTATCATTGTTAGTCCAGTCCATTGAAATCTATCAGGATTTCTCAAAACTCTCCAAATTCATCTAACTGAAATTAGTTGGTATCTTCAGTCAACATTCTTACTTTTTTCTTCACTTTTAGCCAGGGACTAATTTAAGCAGCAACTCTTAAGACATTATGACTGTGAGAAGTGATAATTGCTTTTGAGGATGGCACTGAAAAGGAAATAATACATTACAGAATGGAACACTTACACTTCAGTCTAAATTAGGGGTAATCCTTGGAAGATCCTTCAGAAGTCTTTTGGGCTTCATAAAATCTAACTTCCAATCTTTCTATCTTCTCAAAATTGAACAAATATCTATAACAACATAGTGGAAGATGCAAAATTGGTAAAGTAAGGATGCCATCTGAGAGTCACCATGCAATGACCATACTTAAGCATTTGTAGTGACAAAAACATAGGAAAGGTTAGAAAGGACTCAAGCAATTTTATCATTTCAGTGTCAATTCCAATCGAGAAGCAAGGGTAATACGGAAATATGTCCTTATTACAAAGAACTTTATCTCCAGATTTAAAAAATCAGGAAGTACTACATTCATCCTCTCTACATAAAATGAAAAGCAAAATAGTTTCATTCATTTTTCTTCAAAATTTACCTTAGATGTTGAGCAAGAATTTTTGAAAGATGAGATTATTTCATAAAATCATTACTTCCTCAGTTTTGTATAAATATGTTCAGTTATTCCACAGAGGGCACATTCCATTTAGAAAAGAGCAGAACACAACTCAAGATAACAGAAGAGGCTTCAGTTTTAGAACATACACTGCTGCTTAAATTAATCCTTGAAGTAAGCTGGCACAGCTCAAATATCAGAAATTAAAAATCTCTTCCATTGTATTTGACTTGTTCTTTCATTCTTAAGGGATGTAAGGAAGGAAATTTGGCAGCAGCCTGCACAAACTTCCCCTATAGTGCTGAATTGTTGTAATTCACTTCTCAACTCTTTTTTAATGAAAGCATACGTGAAAAAATCAATGAGAAGCAATTCCTATTTATTACTCCCTGTGGCCATGACTAAGCTGTGAAGTAGCTGTGTCCTGCGGTGTCCTAGTTCATCCGTGCTGGGGACAATGAACAGCTTACTCCATTCCCAAAAGCCCAAGCTACTTCCAGGGGATACCAGAGGAAGCTAATGCACATCCAGATACCACCCCACCCTGGGGAAGGACAAAGCCAAGATGTCTTGGTTGAGCCAGGACCTGGAAAATGCTTCCATGTCCCACATTTCAGACAACATCTCAGTGAGTAGTGATCTTCCACACAAATGGTTCCACTGACTGTGGAGAGATGTAAATTGTGAGGCAGGATATAATGCAAGGCAATAGCATTTAAGTATTCCAGCCTGGAGTGTATTGGCTTATTGAAGCATCTTCCAGATTATGGGACACCTAGTGTTCATGCACAAGCATACGCTGCAGGTAGACCCATATTTTTTGAAGATTACCTTCCATGTAAGTAAAATGAGTAGATTTAGAGATCCTTTCACTAAGTCCTGCAGTAAAGACCAGGAAATGATGCTGTAATACAAAGTAAGAGTCAGACTTGGGTGTAAGCAGATTAAACAAAGGACAGAAATTCTCTGGGGAGTTTCTCCAGAGCTGGCCTGAAGAAGATGCTACTCAAAGATGGCTCTGAGTTTCTCATTCACAAAACTCATTCATGGAATTCTTCGAGTTTCTCACCTGACGAAATAGCTAAGGGACTTATTTATAAAGTTTTTCCTTGCAATAAGCAGTGCAATTTTTCATAGTTTTTAATCCCTGAAGGGCCAAAGGAATCCCCCAAGGGGATGATGAGCAAGGAGATGTGCAGCTGCTCAGACACAGAGGCATGCAACATGAAAACAGAGATCCATATCTTCACCTCAGCTCAAGCTAGCACTGAATAGATGAGTGTGCCCCCTCCCTTGTTCCTGTTTATCAGCATACTGTCACTTGCTCCATCCCATGGCTTCTCTATTGCCCCCAAGAGTTTATGAATTTCTCATTACACAGAATCAAACAAAATGCTTCAAAAAACAATAGACATATGAGATTTTCTCTTGGCAATTTTTAGGAATGAAACGGTTGAAGAGAAGACACAAAAGAAGCCAGAGAGCTCCCCATTTTCAGACCAGACCCTCACCTCAAAGCGAAGCATGAGCTCTCCCCTCTGTCCCCAAAAGTTCATGGGATTGTTGCTCCATTGCAAGATAACACCAAGTTCTGCAACAACTCGATTCACTGTGTTCACTCAAGGCATGTCCCTTTCTGGGCAACAGGGAGGATATGTCATGTGTGCACACAAGATCAAGTGCATGCATGTGTACTTTCCAGTTAATTCTTCAGCTTCTGTGGTGTACTCTTTTGTCTTTCTGAAAGGACAACCAGTATAAGAATGACATTTTGCAAACAAATGTTGAATGCATTTTTTATTTCAACATTAAGATTTAATTACAAAAGCTTCTGGAACAATTAAAGGATGCCAAGGAGGAAAGAGCTGAAAACTCAGACTGCATTTTCTCATTCATTGTGAAAGCTAAACACATTGTCAGCAGCAAGGCGTTTTATAGAAAAGTTTCAGATGGACAGTACAAAGACCTTTCTGTCAATATTGTCACTGAAACACCTTGCTGTCATGAAGCACATCTTTTTTTTTCTGATCACGCTTTCTAGTGTTGGCTGATTGATTTTTGCAGTGGGAAACAAGTAATAATTATTGCAGATTTACCGTAATTCTTTTCTGCTAATCTCTGCTAATATAACACAGTCTTCTTCTTGGAAAAATGTCCAAACATAACTTTACCCTGATAAAAATGTCTAGTGCTGTTGTTAGAAGTTTTATTTGCACAAATATGTTCCTAATCTATGTTAATTTCATGCAATATAATTCTTAATTTTTGGAATAAATACTGAGAATCATTAGAGATAATTCTTTGGAATGCAAAATCCAAACAAACTTTGTATTTTCATTTAAGGGCAAGAATCTATCATCTTTATTTACATAAGTAGCATCCTGCTCCCTGTGTTATTTCACTGCAAACTAGAGTCTCAAGCAGTGAAAATCATCATAGTCCCTTTAGGATTTACTGCATTGTATTAAACTTCCAATGAAAATTGGGCTGAGCAATTTTGTCTATGGAGTAATGCAGTACCTGTAACTGGTAAAGGTGCTCAAACATAGCCCTGCACTTAATAATTTGGCACATTTACAACTGGCGTTACTCAGTAACTTATCAGATGACAATAGTGGAGCTCTTCTGTAAAATATAGGTTAAGCCCATATTTGTATAACTGTACATCTGAAGTATAAAAACCACGATATGTAGTACACTTGAACAGTTAAAAAATATAACTTATTTTATTTGTAAACTATCAATGCAAGATACTCAGCAGCAAAGAAGCCATGTTCAATGTCTTCTGATCTTTTATAAAGATCTGTTGCTGTAAGTAATATAATAGTCTCCAAAACATCTGAGGTTACATGTAGAAACAATCAAGGCAATATTATTTGTACATATTATTAAACATGCAAAAAACTTCCTGAAGAATATTGCCCAAATGTAGAAAGTCATCTGGATCTCAAATTTTTCCTTGGTAGCATCTGCTTTGTAAGTATGGCTCACATGTGGCTCCAGAGTACTTCAGTTTATTTTGGAGAATTGGCACCTTTAATAACAGGCTCCCTATTCAAATATGTGGCCCAGTAAACTAAGTTAAAAGTTCCAAACAGCACTGGAAAAATTATCCGGGACATTTTGTCAATCTTACTGATGCTGTTGTAAGTCTTTTTGCTTTCAGGAGGCTTTTCTTCTGCAGGCTTCACTGGAGCAGATGTAGTGTTTGAGATGACAGCTGGGGCTGAGTCCTTTGGCATGTTTGGTGCAGGAGTCAACTTCCCAGTGCTGTACGTATTAGTTGGTTTATTTCCCAGCAAGTTGCGCTCTTTTTTCTGCAGTGTAAAGAACAAAATGTTACACCACAAGAACAGAAAGTGGAAACACATTCGCAAGAGACTGACCCAAAAAGCTGAACACCATAATCAAGCATGCCCATTAATGTCTGTTGACTATTCAGTCTTTGATTATGAAAGTCAGAATCAACAAATTCAGTCATCAAACAGATGTTTTTCCCTTGATTTTGTAGCCCTTGCTCAAATGTGACTGTCCCTCGTGGGAGAAAGCTGAGACTCGCTGGCCGGACCCACATCCCACCTGGCGAATGCATTAGCAGCTTCTTTTGTCAGTGGGATGTGGTCTGGCATCTGAAGAGGGTGCTGCACCAAGGACAGATGACAAGATGGGAATCTCATTTCCCCAGCTGCTGCAAAGTGTCTGGGGAAGGGCTCATTGCCCCTGACAGCTTGGACTCTTTGTAGGCTCTTTTGGGATGACTGTGGGTATGAGCTCTCTAGGAGATGACTTATTAAGAGTTAGTCCTAACCCAAAAGTTTAATTTCAGCATGAAACTCAAAAGTTTGTGTTTTCACAGAACCAGTCTTTGGTTCCTTTTTTTTACTGTGGTGGGACCCTGACTCACGGAGCTCAATGTGAGCATTGTTATTTATTTAGGAGAGGATACAGGGACTGCTCTGCAGAGATATGTTTCATGATGTATGTCCGCTATTATCAGAAGTCTGATCACTGAAATCCTATGTCCTGTGTACTCGATGCCCAATGTGCTTCTATAAGCAGTCTCTTCATACAGATCATAGGGACTGGCAGTCTATCTCTGTGAAGGGAAGACACCATATTTCCTTGAAAATTTTCCTCTACAGGAAGGTATGTCATGAGGAAATGAAATATCATTTTTACAAAGAAGCTGAAAATTGACCCTTCAGTTATTTAAACTATACTGATACCTTTTTATTGTAGGTATTTAAAAAATACAAGTTAAGCACCTTGATTTTTGCAGCTTCCTGGGCTTTTTTGCCATCCCATGCCCAACTCCTCTTGGTGAAATAGTTGACTGTTGCAAATTCAATCAATGCCGAAAATACAAAGGCATAGCAAACAGCTATAAACCAGTCCATTGCAGTAGCATAGGCCACTTTTGGCAAAGAGTTACGGGCACTGATACTTAAGGTGGTCATGGTGAGGACTGTTGTTACTCCTGCAAAGAAAAAAAAATTGAGTCAGAGATCAGTTTGCTAACCCTTATGGGATGCCAAATGAGTTGTGAGCAGGTCCCAGTTCAGCAGGATACCTAAGAAGGCCACATGAAGTCAATCAGTGTTTGCATATCACAGTTTGAAAGAATATGAAAAAATGAAAGCCTTCATGTTCAGATGTTTTATTCTATGGAGTTCTGGTTAATTCTGGCTGTAGTGCATTTAAATAAGGATTTTTAAGGTAACACAAGCCCAAGGTTTATAACTGTCAGAATGAAGTGAGGTTACCTATTTTGTTTTCTTATACAGAGATTGTATGTTTAAAATTGTTGACTGTTACTGGTTTCCTTGACTGTAGCTCTTCCTTTCCCATATGACAGTAAATGACAAATAGCCAATGCTTTCATCTGTGGGAATATTTCCCCAAGATAAAAAACTCACCTCTCAGTTACAGCCTTGTAAACTTAGAATAAGTCAGCAAAGTGATGCTACTACCTGTATTCTCTCAATACAACTTGCTGAGCTGGTTTTTTAACAAAGCTGCCAATTGACTTCAGGGGGCTGGTACAGAAGAGTGATTCCTTTCAAATAGCTGAAAAAAGTTTTACTTAATAAACTGTTACCATTCCCCTTGTTTTTCATCTGGTAAAAATCTTGTATTTCATCAACATTTGCTTGAGGAAGTGCTTATTTTCTGCAACCTTCTAGGGATAAACCAAGTAATTTAATGACACCCCAAAGGCTTTTTCCATAACAATTTCTTCAGAAAATATACATTTTCTAAATGCAAAGTCATATTAATTTGTTTGATGGTAATAGAGATAATTGTCACTAATTAACCTCCACATGGTTTTCCCAGATAAACATCCTATGACAAAGATAAACAAAATGTCTTGAAGTGATATCTGCTTCAAATGCTTAGCTCAGGTATACATTAAATATGATAATCTGTATGTCTGTTTTTCTAAACCATCCAGCATCCACCAAAGTAGAAAAAACCCAAAACAAATCACATTAATCTTATTCTTCCATCTTCTGTCCTTAATTTTCACATAACTGATTGGCCAATTTCTGTCATAACTTTACAAAAACAATGCAGACAGGGCTTTTAAATTGATTTTGAGTTTAAACCAGAAGAGAATGAGAAAACATTTACAACATCTCAAGCAGAAATAAACAATTTCTGTGGTTTTATTACAGCAAATCACTTCCACAAGCCACAAATATCCTATCTATATTCTAGGAGAAAGTGGGATACTCACCAAAGACAGTTCTAGCAGGGACAGATTCTCTGTTTAGCCAAAATGACACTTGCGATAAGATCACAGTCATAATGCAAGGAAGGTATGTTTGGATGACAAAATAACCAATTTTTCTTTTCAGATGAAAATGGGCTGTCATAATAGTATATTCACCTAGAAGAAGAAAAATATGCATTTGAGTAAAATAAAGAAGGCTTACTTATTTAGGGACTGAACGAGGCCAGTTCCAACCCCCCATTTGAGGATATTACTCAGCCATTCTCAATTTCTTAAAAAATGTCTGGATTTCTGTCCTGTGGAAAACCAAGACTTGAGACAGAGGTGCTGCTAGATCCTCACAGTCTTCATGTTCAGTCTCCAAAGCAGAAGACAATGACTGCTATTCTTACTGCACTGTAAAGTTGCAGTCCTCCTATGCACCTGGAATATTGTGATGTTCACAGGCTTAAAAATCTGCTTTGCTGACACTGCCTCAACACTGGTTTTGATTCAGTCCTACAAACTCTTGTAGCATAGTAACAATTAAGGCTCTCAACTCTTCAAAACCTGATTTAGCAGCAGGTTTAGCAACCTCATTAGCGAAAGTGCTACAGCCAAGCCATCAGTTTTCAAATATGAAAATGACACTCCTTCTGCACCACATTTAGGGCTTGTCAGTCCCAGCATCTTCTGTGAGAACTGCCACTTTTCATATAGATCCTGGGATGTTTTATTAATCTGAGTACCCAAACCTTTCACATTGCTGGTCCAGAAAAAAAAATGCCTTTCTACTGCATGCAGTGTTCCTAGAATTTGGCACACTTTAGCCCTTCAAAAGATTACCTATTGCTGGATGGATATTGTGTCCTGTCTTGTTCACCAGTGCAATGAATATTGTACTGCTTTCATGCAGAGTTCCCTAAAAGCTACCACAGCAGTGCTAAATTCCATTTCTTTTTCATATACCAAATTCATAGCATTGCCTTAATATGCTGTTTATCAGCTCCTCTGAATTTCAATAAAAGCCTAAATAAATGCACTCAAAAATCCACAGACCAGCTGTCACCTTCCCTAATGTTTCAGAAAAAAATCAAACCTTAACCAGTTCTTTCAGATTGTTCCTGGAAAACCATATAGTTTTTACTGAGGGCTACTCCAGGTGGTAGCTGCTCCCTTGTTATTTGTTGTTATTGAAAGTTATTCATGATGATAACTGCTCCCCAAATCCAAAATCTTGCTAGCTAAAAGCATGCTACTATTTGCCTAGGAATAATAACAGTAAAAACAAAATATAAGAATAAAAAGCTATCCATCCCTTGACACCCTAACTGTTCTTTACTGATGTCAAAGAAATTTAAAAGCATTCATCATTCAGTTGCGTACTGATGAATCAGAGAAATGCCTGTTTTGAAATATATATTGTCCTTCAAGAACAACTATAGCAATAATCGCTGTTGCAAGACTTGACTGTTAGTCTCTACAGAACATCCACAAAAGGAAAATATTCAAGGCAGACTGATTCTGCCTTGAGTGAATAGCTCCGAGTTGAGCTGTTACCAGCATTACTAAGCTATTA